GGAAAATAAGCAGAGAAAGGAGTATTATGTACATTTACTACCTTGAGTTATTTATCAAATAATAAAGGCATGATAAAAAGTTGAATAAATAAAATAATTTCATTGTCTATGGAAAGAGCATTTTCTTTTCTATCTTCACATATTTGAACTTAAGAACTACTGTTTCCAAAGTGACTCCAGAAATTATATATTCATTCATTGACATGTTCTTCTCCCTAATCATTTTTCCTCACATTGAGAGTTAATTCAGGGTAAGTAATTGCAACTACAACTTCATTGCCAGGACTCTGCTGATATATAAATTTAATTAATAAAATAAATTTAACTAAATATCACCCAGGGAATTTTAGCTCTCTGTCAAGCCTAACCCAATGCTGCCATATGCTATACAAGAAAGAACAATGAGCCAAACCCCTTTTTGGAACTTTGGCTTATAATTTGTAATCCTATTCCATCGTTATTATATTTTGTACTGAAAGTTTCTATCCCATCGTATTGTTTCAATCCATAATCAAGCATTTTTCTATCTCACTGCTCTTTGACTTTCCACACAAAGATCAAGTGAACAAGATTCTCATGGACCAAATCTCCATGATGACATAAAATAGAGACATCTGACCTGATGCTACCTCTCTATTGCACCTACTGCCTAGGTTTCAGCATCATATCTGGCTTGAGTCTCCTTGTTTTCTTTACTCATCCATTGGCATGACAAAAATTTTTGATGTGAAAATATTACTCTCTGCCCACATACCCCAAAATGCACTTACTCATATATTTTCCTAGAAGGTCAGTGAGGGGAAGGAAGCACTGGTCTCACTCAAAACTGGCTTGGTGAAGATGCTATGGTGTTAATGGTAGTGGTCCATGTGGGAAATGTTGTCAGTTTTCTTAATTAGCATGAGGTATTTTGGCAGAAAATATTATTAAAAAGCAAACCAAGCAGTGTTTTAAGAGACATGTTAAAGCTGATGTAGGAAAAATAAGTTTAATACATCCAATATCCTTTTATTTAAAACAGCTGTAGGAAGCTAATATGTTGGTGAGAAAATAGTTTTAAAAACCCTTCTTCTGCACCATTTCCCTGGTAGAAATGTGTCTTTGTTTGTGAAAGAAAGAAAAAGAATAATATCAATGTCTCAATACCCAGTGAGATGGAACTGTAGCTTGAGTGCAAATTATATGCATTAAACAAGATTTCAAATTGTGAATGAGAACATTAAGATAACTGTCTGTGATGGTTGCCAATCACTGCCATACCATTGACTACCAAGATCTGTCAAGCAGCAGCACATCTTAGATGAACCAAAAACTTCAGCTTTAATCATCAACATCTAATTATTCTTGATTTTAGTCAGATACAAACCATGCATTAAAGTTTTAATGAGAAAGAGAGGAGATACTTATAAATATCAGCAGCATAATCTTAACCTAATAGCTTTAAACGTGTTGAACAGGATACAAGTGAAGATCTTGAAGTGATCTAGGAATTTCCTATCAAAGTAAAGAAAATGAGAAAATGTATTTACATTTTACAGAGTATTAAAAAATATGCCTTCTACTCTGTATTGCTATAGAGAAGCTCTATGAGTTCATGCACCCTTTCCTATCCCCCCAAAGTTGATACATAATATTGAATAATGTTAATAAAATTCATATATATATTTATATATATGGTATTCAGCTTTGTTCAGGTATTTTCCCACGTCATTATAGTTCTGCTTTTAAAGTTGTAGCAACATTTCGGCAGAATCTCATCTGCCATCATCAGGCTTCTGTATTGTGTTCGTATATATATAAATTAAAGTGAAGTATATTTAAATCAAAAAGTAGCATTTTCAAGTCAAATTTATTAATTCTTGGTAATTTGATGCTATTCAGAATCCCTCTAATCTGCAACTACATTCTTTCCGGGTGGTTTTCAACTTACCAGTCTAGCCAATACCCTCCATATTTCCAGTTGTCTCCAATCTAGGGCAATACTAAATACATTTGCTCTGCTTACCCTCTCAGCCTGTTCTCAGACACCTGGGAAGAAGAGTTTAAACTAAATTAAATCAAATTTAACTTTTGTCTTGATCACATTTCCTTTTCCAAGTGCAACCTATTACATGCCCATTATATACCCCTTACAAGTTTTGATATATAGCAATTGCGCACATAATAATCGTAGTTCCTTCTCCATTTGGTCTTGTTAGATTAAAAGTGAATGTAATATTCTTTCTCTGAATATAGAGATAGATATAGATCTTGATATTGTGAGTGTATGTTTCTGTAAACAAAAAGAGAACTAACTATTCCTTAGGTTTGAGAAAATATTTTGAGCATTTGGACTAAATGCATCAGTATTTACTGTAAGAGATGGCAAAATTGACAACTTTCATTAAAGAACAGACTTTTAATAATTTTACTTCTACTAGGAAACCACTTTTGGATTTTTTGAGAGAAATTGAAAGAAATGAAATATTGATTTTGGAATTTAATGATTAGAATTATTCAGGATTATAGAAATAATATAGACAAATGTTAGCCTTAGAATAACAGTTTGATGTATTTTTTTAAGTTGAATTTCTTTCGCCCTAAACAGATGACATTTAAAAAATGTGTGATTAAAATGTGGAACTGAATTGGAAGCACTTGGGCATACCCTGTGATACACTTTTGTAATGTTTTTTTTTTAATCTGGACTATCTAGAAGTATATGTAGTAAGTCATAGAAGAAAGGGAGTCATACTATCTCCCACTCTGTTGTGCCATTTCTACCTACAGCCAAAATAAATTGAGCATACAGCCATTCCTAGACCAATTTTAGGTTCAATTCCAGGGCAAACTGTCTACAAGGCAGTGTTGTATTTTGTAAGCAGTCTATTAGGTTCTTCAATTACCTAGATTGTTGCTGTTTGAAGGTTTTGCACCCAATTCAATCCATCATCCCTCAAATGACAGGACTACTGAATGCTGCCTCTTTCTTTCTATTTGCTACTTTCCTGGTATTAAAGTCAGCAGCAATAGGCTTTCAGACCTGTAAGAAAATGTATTTGCTGGATATGTGACTTCCTGATGAAAGTGAGCAATTTCATGGCCTTTACAGTTCTCAGATTCTCTCTCTTCTATACCACCAATATGAATGAGCCAGTCATCCAGCTACCAGTCAGGCAGTTTGAATAAAATCTCTAAGCTGGAGGCAAATAACTGTTCTCATTGCATAGAACAGGCCAGGATAGGCAACCCGGTGCATGAGAGCCCCATCCCTTAATGCCCAATAGGTTTCTTGTCTCACTGAACAATTTAAAAGATGGTAAGTTATTTAATTTTTACTGTAATTGAGACCCAGTTTGGTGTAGTGGTTAAGTTGCTGGCCTAGAAACCAGGGAACCGTTGAATTCTAGTCCTACCATAGACATAAAAGTCAGCTGGATAACACTGGGCCAGTCACTCTTTCTCAGTACAACTCGCCTCACAGGATTGTTGTTGTGGGGAAAATGGGAGGAGGATGACATATTAGGTATGTTTGCCAGTTTGAATTACTTATAAACTGAAAATTCTAATAAACAAAATACCTTTTTTTAATGGGAAGGTGGCATGCTGCTAAATAGTAAGCATACCCTACATAATCTTTTATTTTCAAAATTAAAAAATACTCTATGGGGCACTATAAAGGTTTAATTGGCATTCTTTAGAAATATAGTAGATGGCTGTAGCCCAAATATTGTCTAGAAAAAAGATTATTTGTCCAAAAAAAAAAAGTTAAGTCAATGGCGTGCTGAAGTGATATGGCAAATCCTGGAATTGGGGGATGGGGAGGAATTGAAAGACACTAGCGATTTATCTTTAGTAAATAAATGTTATGTGCATGCATACCACCATGACAGCCATTTTTAAACATACCTATGGGAAGCCTGCAAAATTTCTATCTCTAATATTATCAGATGCCTTGAAATACCAGCCTAAAATATATTTCCCTCTCCTCCGTTATCATTAAAATCTTCATATTTAATTCCAAGATGTAGTTACTGTGTAGTTACCTATGCATAATAATATGCATAATTATACTGATATGTACGTCTCTAGGTATGTTGTATGCTTAATATAGAACACAATAGTTTCTCCATGTATTTGCTGTGGTACTTTAAGTCCTTGGAAAGAACTTAAAGTCTTAGAAATGTAGACTTTGCTGGCAGTGCTACATGAGCACCAGTTAAGGACAGGGAATAACTTTTAGACTGAAATAATGTTACATATTAAGGTCTTAAAAATCAATAACTGTAATATTTTATAATAATATATGTATATCAAAATGATTCTTGACTGAACCATAATTTTAAGGCTGTTTCTATGATAACATGGAAGTATTTGTATTTTCTCCTTCATTCGACTCATATTGAAACTGCCTCCATGTGTTAGGTGAAGGGATGTTTAAGAATCAGTCAGAACATATTGCTGAACAAATTATATCTGCCTGCCTAATACATAATAATTTTCATTAAATGAGCAGTGTAAAAGTACAAACTCAGACTTGCTTTGATCAAGAGCACAATCATGTACAGACTTATGATCATTTTAAAAGCTCATATATACAATAAGCTCAGTTACAGTATATTTTCAGACATTAGTTTCTTTTCTTTTTTGATTTCCATTTAGTTTTACTTTCAGCGGGTGAAAATATGTGGTCTACTTGGAGCTCCTTGATGTGGTTGGTTAATATATTGCTTTTGAATGAATATTTTGGTTTTCACCACATCGAGGGATATATTTTTCAAAGACTAATAAATCTGATTCAGAGGGAATCCCAACAATTTCTTAGTAATGAGCAAAAGGCAAAAATATTTATTTATTCATTTGTTTATTTATTTTTCAACAAATTAATATAGTATCCAACTCACACATGGGTGACTTTGGGTGGCTTACCACATTAAAAATCCATAATATAAAATATCTATCCTACCTTATGGCAACAGCAACCTAATCAAACCAACCACTTGATCGCCTCCATCTCCATTTGTAGTCCCCAGGCCCACTGACAAAACCACATCTTTATAAATGTTCTTCTTCATGGAAATCTTTAGTAAAAAGCAAAAGATTTATAAATCTTTAAAGAGCAACCAGATGAAAACAGAACGTGAAACCAGAAACCAGAGAGAAACCAAAATGAAGCTTTTGTTTTTAGAGGAGTAAATATTGCTGAAATTTACATGTGAAATAAGGAAAAATATAACCCAGAAATATTTTAATCCATGCAACTTATGTTTAAAAGTCAAACATTAAAACAACATGTGTCCATGTGTGTTTCCAGAATTGTCAGTTGCCAACATTTCAGAAAAGAAATAGGGCCATGACAGTGACCCTCTCAAGCACAATCTATACCATTATTTTGCCCTTCCTTCCTTCCTTCCTTCCTTCCTTCCTTCCTTCCTTCCTTCCT